AAAAAAAAAAAGTACCCTTTCCTCTGGGCAGATGCAGTGTGTGGTGAGGGGAACAGATGATGTCAGCTCCTGCTGTAGCTTCTGTCCAGTATGCTTGTGCAGTGGGCAACTTGCACAACTATTCTTGGCAGTCCTGCTTGTGTCCCCCATGTGTTGAGCAGCTCAGAAGGTAGGGGGGGTGCTATGAAGACCAAGTAACCAGAGGCTGGACCTCCACATCCAGGTGTTTAGAGGGCTAAACCCCAACCTCTGTGCCCAGGTCACTGCTGGTAAAAAAATCTGCCAAGGAACTGAACTGTTCTAGGTAACACCCCCAAATCCCCCTCCAGGTATCCCCAGCAGTGTCTCCCTTGCTCCTCCAGACTGGGGGCACACCCTCACCTTCCCCAGCCCCCTCTGCACGTTTCCACCCCGCCAGGAGTCCCACACTTGCCTGCTTCTGCCAGCCTTCTCTCCCTCTCTCTCCAGAACAGCGGCTATTTTTATTTTTCCTTCTTATTAAATTTCCAACTTCGGCAAACACCACGGCCCCTGCCTCGCCGCGCCCCCCCTTCCCTTAGGGCGGATTTGATTCACTTGCGTTTTATTAACAGATTAAAAAAAAAAAAAAAAACTCGCAGCTGCCACCACAATGTGACTTTCTCCGCTTTCCTGGAGCTTTAGGGAACCGAGAACTGGGCTGCCGGATCCCTCTCCGGGTTTAAATTCGCCCTCCTCCCCGCTCCCCGGGACCTTTCCATCGCAGCCTGAGCCGCGAGGCCGGGAAGGGGCTGGGGAGTGAGGCTGGGTCTCGTCCTGGGTTTTGGGGGGAATGGGATGGGTGTCAGGCCTGATGCGGTCCCCCAGCCAGGGCCTCGTCGCCAGGCGGAATTGGAAATTAAAAAAAAGAAAAAAAAAGCAATCGGAGGGAAGCCCCGCGCCGCAGACCTTGGGTGCAAAAGGCTTCGGGTGGGAGGGGCAGCCTGGGGGGTGAGGGCTTAGAGTTGGCGCCTCTCGCACAAAGCTGGGGCGCCCCCGCCCTCTCTCCCTTCGGAGGGCTGGCAGGCGGCCTTGGGAAAGGTGGCCACCTACCCTAGCCCGGCTCGCTCAGTTTTCTTTCCTCCTTAGGATATTCTGATTCTGGTGCTGACTCCCAAACCCGAGAGCAAATTGCTTCCTCGTGCCCCCGGGGTGTTTTCTCCCCCCACTTTTTTTTTTTTTTTTGGTTGTGTGGCAGTCGCCATGGCAACCAAGAACCCAGCTGCACTGCACTTCGCTGGGATACAGGATGGGGTAGGGGGGTGATGGGAAAACTAACTGGGTCATTTAGGCCAGGACCTTCCTACCCTCCTCTTTGCCCCCTCTCTTAGTCCTCCACCCCTCCTCCACACCACCTGGCCCAGCCTTGATCAACAAGAGGCCAGGCTGCTCCGTCTTACCCATCTGGGTGGTTGAGCCGCCGAGTCTTCCTTCTGGGTCCTTCTGGGTCATTCTGTTCCGGGAAGGTCCTTCATTTGGCCCGAGGGCTAAGGCTCAAGCTCTCGGTGAAATCCGTTTTCCCTTCCTTTCCTCCACTATTTAGTCCCTCAATCAGGTGGTCTGGTACGGTTGGGCAGGTTGGACACTGCACAAGGGGACACTGAGTAGGTTCAAGCTGAGCTCCTGGTTTCCCTTGCTCCTTTGCTCCATAGCACACTACAGACTAACCTCTCCTGTGCCTCACTGACACCAACTCTGTTTGCTATCAGCCGAGCCAGTAATTTCAATAAAACATTTCAGTACTGGTCACACCCCAATGCAGAGCAAGAAGGGAAGTTCAGTCGGGAATTTGGGGTCTTGAACAACTCAAGCCACAGCTCCTGTGGGAGCTTACAGAGAGCAAACCTGGGCAGAAATAACTTCTACAGGGGCAAAAACTAGGGTCGAGGACTATAGAATGCCTTGGGGTACTCAGAGGGAGGCAGGGAATGATTATCAAAAGCCCCAAAGGAATCATGGGGCTGATCAAGTTGCTTCCTGGATCCAATTCTACCTCCCACCATCTATACTGTTGGTCGACGTGGGTCCTCCCACTGGAAGGTGGAGCCTATTTCCACACCCCTTGAATCTGGGTTGGTCTCGTGATCTCCTTTGGCCAATCAATGGATCGCAGCAGAAGTGAAGTCAGTTCCCAATCTAGGCCTGGAGAGGTGCCGCAGGTTTCTGGTCAATGTCTGGAAACCCCGCCTCTGTCAGGTGGCCACGCCCCAGCTAGCCTGCTGGAGGATGACGGAAGAATCCTGTTATCCCAGCCCAGCCGTCCCAGACCAGCCTACAGCCAGCCGGGCCCGAAATATACGAAAAGACCCAGCCTGGATTAATAAAGTCTTGGACCCATAGACATTGGCGGTTGAGCCCAGCCTGCAGCCTGCGAAGCCAAAATTAACGCTGATTTTCCTAAGCTGCTGGATTTGGGCGCTGTTAGGCAGCTTTTTTTTTTTTTTTTTTGAGACACAGTCTCACTTTGTGGCCCAGGCTGGAGTGCAGTGGCGCAATCTTGGCTCACTGCAACCTTCCAGGTTCGAGAGATTATCCTGTCTCAGCCTCTCGAGTAGCTGGGATTACAGGCACAAACCACCATAGCTGACTAATTTTTGCATTTTTAGTAGAGACAGGGTTTCGCCATGTTGGCCAGGCTGGTCTCGAACTCGTCTCAAGTGATCCGCCCGCCTGGTCCTCTCAAAGTGCTGGGATTACAGGCACGAACCCCCGGGCCCGGCCTTTGTTAGCTTAACTGGCAACAGGTAACTGACAAGGAACCTGGGAGGCACAGGTGTGCCTTGGTCAGAACTTCCCCACGAAGGAGTTAGACCCAGATCCTGGGGGCTGTGAAACTGTCAACTCTTTAACTTCCTGAGGAATCCTTCTTTTTTGTTTTTCGGCATGGCCTTCCAATGAAATGCCCCATTTTCCTTTTTTTTTTTGAGACAGAGTCTCACTCTCGCCCAGGCTGGAGTACAGTGGTGCGATCTCGGCTCACTGCAACCTCTGCCTCCCAGGCTCAAGCGATTCTCCTGCCTCAGCCTCCCGAGTAGCTGGGATTACAGGTTTGTACCACTGTCCCCCACTAATTTTTGTATTTTTAGTAGAGACAGCGTTTTGTCATCCTGGCCAGGCTGGTCTCGAACTCCTGACCTCAGGTGATTCGCCCGCCTCGGCCTCCCAAAGTGCTGAGATTACAGGCATGAGCCCCCACACCTGGCCTCCCATTTTTTCTTTCCTTGGTGTCTCTGAATTGCGCCTCCTCTCCTCTCTCTTTCTCTCTCTCACACTTCCTTCCAGCCACACCAGTCTCCTAACTGATTTCTACTCCTCCATGCTAGTTCCCATCTCGGGCCTTGGCACCGCTGTTCCTCCTGCCTGGAACCCTGTTCCCCCAGATCGCTGTGCATCCTCCCCTTTTACTCCTTCAGGTTTCTGCTCATGTGCCTGACGCCCTGAGATCCCCTCCTTAACTCAGATAGGGATGTCGCCTTCCAGGCCCTCACCAACCTGCTACTACTCCCAGCGGGAGCACATCATGTCCAGCCTAGGACGCTAAGGCTGACCCTGGGTTCAGATAGGAGCAGAACAGCCCTCCACAAAAACATGCCTTTTTAGGGCCGGGCGAGGTGGCTCATGTCTGTAATCCCAGCACTTTGGGAGGCTGAGGTGGGCGGATCACGAAATCAAGAGATTGAGACCATCCTGATCAACATGGTGAAACTCCGTCTCTACTAAAAACACAAAAATTAGCCGGGCATGGTGGCGCACACCTGTAGTCCCAGCTATTCGGGTGGCTGAGGCAGGAGAATCATTTGAACTCAGGAGGCGGAGGTTGCAGTGAGCCAAGGTTGCACCACTGCACTCCAGCCTGGTGAGAGAGCAAGAGTCTGTCTCAAAAAAAAAAAAAAAAAAGCCAAGGTTGCACCACTGCACTCCAGCCTGGTGAGAGAGCAAGAGTCTGTCTCAAAAAAAAAAAAAAAAAAAAAAAAAGACAAAAAAACTCAGACATTTCTCTTTTGGGCTGGGCGCAGTGGCTCACGCCTGGAATCCAAGCACTTTGGGAGGTTGAAGTGGGTGGATCACAAGGTCAGGAGTTTGAGACCCACCTGGCCAATATGGTGAGACCTCGTCTCTACTAAAATCACAAAAATTAGCTGGGCATGGTGGTGAGCGCCTATAGTCCCAGCTACTTGGGAGCCTGAGGCAGGAGAATCGACTCCCAAGTAGCTGGAATTACCTGTGCCCGCCACCACAGCTGGCTAATTTTTGTAGTTTTAGTAGAGACAGGGTTTTACCACGTTGGCCAGGCTAGTCTCCAACTCCTGACCTTGAGTGATTCACCCGCCTCAGCCTCCCAGTGTGCCGGGATTACAGGTGTGAGCCACTGTGCCCTGCCACACAAAAACATTCCTCATTCACCTTTCCCCTAATGATTTTACTATCCATGGCTAATCATGCCCTAAATCCATGATTTCTTTGTTTTTGTTTGTTTGTTTTTGTATTTGTTTTGAGATAGAGTCTCACTCTGTCGCCAGGCTGGAGTGCAATGGCATGATCTCGGCTCACTGGAACCTCTTACTCCCTGATGTAAGGGATTCCGCCTCAGCCTCCTGAGTAGCTGGGATTACAGGCGCACACCACCGTGCCTAGCTAATTTTTGTATTTTTAGTAGAGATGGGGTTTCACCATATTGACCAAGCTGGTCTCAATCTCCTGACCTCATGGTCCGCCCGCCTCGGCCTCCCAAAGTGCTGGGATTACAGGCGTGAACCACCGTGCCTGGCCTTTTTTTTTTTAAATTAAGAAATGGGACCTCACTACGTTGCCCAGGCTGGTCTCAAACTCCTGGCCTCAGGCGACCCTTCCACCTCGCCCTCCCAAAGTGCTGGGATAAAAACCGAGAGCCACGCCGCCTGGCCTGCAGGCGCGACTTTCATTACAATTTGCAAAATACTGCATTCCCAGTTTATCACAGCGTTTTCCCATTTATACATCTGTCGTCTCCAACAATCTGGAAACCCCTCAACAGCAGAGGCACAGCCACAGGGTACCAAAGAAACGTTTGCGGAAAGAATTTGAATTCAGGAGATGGAGTCTACTGGGGGAAGCAAACAAACAAACAGGTATTTGTTGTTTAGGGCAAAGGAACACGGCACCATTTCTCCCGCTTCGAGGATCAAAGCCTGCTCCAGTCCAATCTCCTCTGGATGCCAAGCCTGGCCAAAAGTCCCAGGACGTGGCCTGGCCCCCTACACATCAAAGCTTTCCCTCTTCTGACACCATCACCACCCCATGGACCCAAGACCTACAGGGGACTGGGGAGAAGAGAGATCGACTGTCTATAGGTATCAACATTGCTTTCCTTCTTAATTTTTTATTTTTTATTTTAAACCTCCCCATAATTCAAACGTTTCTCTTATTATCTTCTGCCGAGGGAAAAAAATTAATAACATGGCACAATATAAAATACTAAATTAAAGGCATTTTGGAACCAGCAATTATTTCATAAGCTTCTCTTTTATTGCCACGCTAATGTGCCTAATTGCTATCTTAATGAGGACATTAATTTCTGGCTAATGTGATGTTATTATAGAAATTGCAGTCAATCTCTTAAAAGGGGGAAAGTGCTAGAAAGCTGTCCCACGAGGCAGAGGCTCTGGTCACCCTGCAGCTGAGGGGCAAAGGAGAGGGGAGGAGACGGTGCTGGAACCCGGGCCAGGAGTGGGGGAAGGATGGGGCTGCTGGGAGCCAGAGGGGGGAAGGCAGGGGCTTCTGCGGAGCATAAAGCTGCCCAGGGAGGCCCTGATCTGAAAGCCAGCTGCTGCCATGCCTGGGGACCTAGGAGATGGAACTCTGAATCAGGGGAAAGTGTCACAGCAATAATAAAACCCGACGTCAGTGACATCAGTGGCAGGCACCGTAGAGGCTTTTCCTATGCTAATCCTTGCAATAGCTCTATAAAATAGTGTCATTTCCCCCATTTTACACATGGAAGAACAGGGAGGTTGAGTAACTTACCCAAGGTCACACAGCTATTACATGGTAGAGATGGGATTTGAACCCAGCACGTCTGGCTTAACTGCCGAGCTATGCTGCCTTTTAGCCAGCACCCCGAGACCATCGATAATAATAATTTCAAACATTTATTGAGGGTTTATCACGCACTGGCTGTGAG